TGTCCTCACTTGGATCTTCCTGAGAGATCCTCCTGAAAAACGGGTCCTGAGGGGGACTGGAGGGATTCCTCCTTCCGTCAGGATCACTGTTGTCCACAGCGAAGGACTTGAAATAAGAGGCAGGAGAAAAGAAGAAGAATTAACAAACATCACACAACATGAAGTGGATTCTAAACACAACTTTAAACCCCCCAGTGTCCAGAAGCGAGGCTGGAAAGTGAGAAAGGAACAGGTGTCCCAAATCTATCTTCTAGATAATGCAACAATATCACACAAGAATTAGTGAAACATCCCCATGTATTACAAATGCCAGAAAACTGTCATCGGGAGGGGTTAAGAATTCAAGCAGATTGTTTATTCCCTTCAGACCCCTTCTGGGGTCCCAAAATGAAGATCTCCCACCTGCAACTTGACCTGATCCTTCTGCTCCTCCGCCTGGCTCAGGAGGAAGCCTTCTGCCAGGGCCACCGCCTGGGAGCTGGTCTCTGCTCCACACTCCCGCACCCAGCTCTGCATCTGCAAGGGCAGAAGGGCCAGGAGGTGCTCCAGAACAACCAGGTCCAGCATCTGTGCTTTTGTGCACTTTTCTGGTCTCAACCATTGATGACAAAAGTAGTGGAGATGCCTGCAAAGTTCTCGGGGACCCTCAGCCTCCTGGTATTGGACACTCCTGAAGTTCTGGGGCTGAACTTCTGAATGGATGGTTTCTTCCTCCAGGATCTTTGGCCCAGTTCTTGCCCAGATCTCCCCACAGCTCCCAGGCTGAACAGCAGAAGGCCCTTCTCCAGTTCCCTCACTTGCTAAGGGTTGTGTCTCCATTCTTTCTCTGTGCTGTAACGCAACTCCAAAGGGGTCCGAGGAATCTTGTGGCTCTCCAAATGCCTTTTCATTGATTGGGCTGTTCCTGTAGCTAAGGAATGACCACAGCAGGCCATTCAGCCCTCTTTCCCCAAGAGAGAATTTTGTTTGTATGCGAGGACCTACAAAAGGCTTCCGGTTTCTGTGTGTGAGATGGAAAAGAAATTCCAAGAATTAGAAAGTGATGGATTTGACCATTGAACAACACTCATCCTCATGGAAGACACCATTTTTCTGAGCTGGTATAGGACTGGGGTGGCATTGAGCAGATAGGAACTGAGGGCCGGGCAGCTGATTGGCATACCTGAATCTTCCCTCTTGAGGGTTGCATCCTACTAAGCTGCAAGAGGATGATACCAGTGAAAGGTTTGGCTGCTGTGGGTACTTGGCAGGGAGGGTGGTCTGCGGAGGGGAAGATAAGATTTTGAGATGTTCAAAACCCACAATTGTGAGACCACTGGCTGACCTAGTTGTCACATAAAAGTTAATTAGCGTAGTAAAACACACACCCCTAAGGTGGAGGTTTCAGAAAACATAGAACATGCTAAGCTCATTATGGGATGGTAGTGTGTAACATGGAACCAAGTACGCTTGCCTGACAATGTGACAAA